AATATAATATAATATAATATAATATAATATAATATAATATAATATAATATAATATAATATATATCTTTTTATTTCTGTTGCTATCAAAGAAATAAGGCAGCTGTGCAGACACCCGAAGTACTGCACAGTTGGTTGGGGTGTAGGAAAGATATTTATTTTATTATTTTTAATTTAATTAATATAAATAATTTATATTAATTAATCAAATTGTTTATTATTATATTTTCAGTAGTAAAAATTGAGTAAGCATGCCTAAGGAGGCGGCGACTCTGTCTCGATGCATGCGGGGGAGAGGGGCCCCCAATATCTTTTCAGGTGTATCTTCTTTGTTTTTTTCTTTGTTTTTTAATTAATTAATTTAATTATATTTGTCTTTGGCTTTTATTTTCATCAATTTTCAGAAGCTAATGGCAGCAACCCTCAGAAACACGCTTTGTCTCGGCAACAGTTAGAGCATACTGCTAACCCTAAACCCTAAACCCTAAACCCTAAACCCTAAACCCTTGCCAACCATGATGCCTCTCAATACAAGTATATGCCCCCTAGATGGGAGATACAGCGCAGCAACAGCAGAGCTGCGAAAATATTGGGGAGACCATCAACTAATGCGGCACCGGGTGTATGTTGAGGTCAGCAGGGTTTTCTTTAGGGTTTAGGGTTTGCGTCTGCATTCAACATTCAAGATCTGTAGGGTTTAGGGTTTAGGGTTTAGGGTTTGTGGGTATACGCTGCAGCTGAAGTGGTTGAAGTTTTTCGTCGAGAATGTACATCCCCGAGTAGCTTTGACTGCGGAGCAGCTGAGTGCGTCCAAACCCTAAACTCTAAACCCTAAACCCTAAACCCTAGACCCTTTAAACTGAAGGGAATCGAACCCGGGACCCTCGGATGTTGAGTTTGCTGCTGCAGATGACCTGCAGCAGCTTCATGATGTTAAAGACGCAGACCTTATAGAAATATTTAAAATAGAAGCAAAGACAAACCACGATGTTAAGGCAGTAGAATATTATTTAAGAGTAAGTATACGAAACCCTATTATCTAGGGTTTAGGGTTTAGGGTTTAGGGTTTTAGGGTTTTAGGGTTTGTGTGCAGGGGCGGTTTCCGGTGTGCTCTTTAGGGTTTAGGGTTTAAAGGTTTATATGAAAGGGGTTTTAAAGCCCCTCGTTTGTTTGCGCCCCTTAGGGTTTAGGGTTTAGGGTTTAGGGTTTAGGGTTTGTGTGCAGGAGCGCATTCAACAAACCCCTTCTTTATCTTTTTGTTCTGAGTTTGTTCATGCTCTCTGCACCAGTGAAGATATTAACAGCCTCGCCTATGCTTTTATGTTAAAAGAATGCTTAACAAAAATTATACTGCCGAGCATTAGATCTCTGCTTCTTCGTCTTCAAACCCTAGCCACACAGGTGCATATACACCCCAAACCCTAAACCCTAAACCCTAGCATTCGCCCTTTTCTTGCGCGTATTCTAACCCTAGCCACGCAGGTGCACATAAACCCTAAACCCTAAACCCTAAACCCCAATAAACCCCCGAATGCGCATATCGAGTCACTGCTTTGCAGCCGCACCAACCTGCACAATGCAGCCTCTCCAGCTTCATAGGGTCTAGGGTTTAGGGTTTAGGGTTTAGGGTTTGGTTTGCAGCATGCAGAGGCACCTCTGCTGGCGAGGACCCACGGCCAGCCTGCGAGCCCAACGACATTTGGGAAGGAGTTTGCTGTTTATTATCATCGGCTTCAACAACAAATGCGCAAGTAATGCTGCTGCTGCTGCTGCTGCTGCTGCTGCTGCTGCTTCTGTTGCTGTTGGTGCTGCTTCTGCTGCTTCTGCTGCTGCTGCTTCTGGTGTTGCTTCTCTTGCTGCTGATGCTGCTGCTTCTGCTGCTGCTTCTGCTGTTTTTCTGTTTCTTCTTCTGCTGCTGCTTCTTCTGCTTCTCCTGCATTCCTGCTGCTGCATTTCTGCTGCATTTCTGCTGCTGCTGCTGCTGCTGCTGCTGCTGCTGCTGTTTAGACTTGAAGAGGTGAAGCCAGCAGCAAAGTTTAGCGGCGCCGTTGGAAATTTCAATGCGCACGCCGTCGCCTTCCCCGGACTCGACTGGCCCAAACTGGCGCAGCAGTTTGTAGAGGTAGGGTTTAGGGTTTAGGGTTTAGGGTTTAAGGTTGTGTAGGGTTTAGTAGGTTTTAGTAGGGTTTACTAGGGTTTAGTAGGGTTTAGTAGGGTTTAGTAGGGTTTAGTAGTGTTTTATAGGGTTTATAGCTAAGACGCAACACCGCATAATTGGGCATGTGGTTTAGGGTTTAGGGCTTTGGGTGTATGAATTAGGGTTTAGGGTTTAGGGTTTAGGGTTTAGGGTTTGGGGTTTGCAGGGTTTAGGGGTCTGTTATCAACCCTTCAGCACTCAAATTGAATGTCACGATTGGATATCGTCTCTTTGCGATGAATTGTCTCGCTTCAACACAATTCTTTTGGGGCTTTGTCAAGACTGCTGGGCTTATATATCCAGGTAGCTCCCTAAACCCTAAACCCTAAACCCTAATAAAAATACGCTCATTAGTAATCCCTGATTAGCCCGAATAAACCCTACTTGTTAAACCTTAATAAACCCTAATTTGTAAACCCTAATAAACCTTAATTGGTATACCCTCATAAACCCTAATTTGTAAACCCTCATAAACCCTAATTTGTAAACCCTCATAAACCCTTATGCTAAACTCGCGACCCACCAGCTCAACCCTACTCCCTAAAACCCTAAACCCTAAACCCTAAACCCTGCCGCTGTTTTTAAGGTGGTATAAGTGCAGCTGCAGCAGAGAGAGTTTATATATATGCTAAACCCTCGTATATTTTTGTGAATCTCTAAACCCTAAACCCTAACAAACCCTCGTAAACCCTCGTAAACCCTAATACACCGTATTCAACCCTATAAAACCCTTCTAAACCCTCATAAGCCTTAGTAAACCTTAATAAACCTCCCAAAACCCTCATTATTGTTTTATTGTTTGCTGCAGAGACCTGCTAGCCCTGCAGCTAGTTGCAGGGGAAGTCGGCAGCAGCACAATGCCTCATAAGATAAACCCAATAGACTTTGAAAACGCAGAAGGAAACTTAGGAATTGCATGCGCTATGCTGAGGTTCTTCAGGTGCATATACACCCCAAACCCTAAACCCTAAACCCTAAACCCTAAACCCTTGTGCGTGGGTCTTCCCCACAGTTCAATTAAAGTAGTCTGCATGTTGTTTTTTGGGGTGTATAAGCAGCTCTTCTTGCCTTTTGCTTCTTGTGTAAACTGAGGTGTACATGCAGCTGTTATTTTAATTTTTATTCGGGTGTACGTAGAGGTGTTTCCCTTCTTTATGCTGAGGTGTATGTACAGCTAGTGTTTCAGGGTTTAGGGTTTAGGGTTTAGGGTTTGGGGTGTACATTGAGTTATGCATATATATATATATATATATATATATATTTTTATTTTCTTTGATTTTATCGCTGTTTACAGGATTTGTTGTTTAATTTTTATTTTTTTGAGTTTATTCTTAAAATATTTTTTAAGTGTTTGTTTATGTTGATAACGGTGTTTTAACTTTATTGCATTATTATTGTTTATTTTTGCTGTTTTTGTTTTAATTGAATTTGTTTATAGCTCCAAGCTTCCAGTGTCTCGGCTTCAAAGAGATTTATCAGACTCTACATGTCTTCGAAGCGTGGGCACTGCTTTAGGCTACACTATTGTAGGTTTAAAGTCTTGTCTTAAGGGTTTATTAAAAATAAATATTAACGAAGAAGCAGCAAAACAAGAGCTTCAACTACACTGGGAAGTCCTCGCCGAACCCATTCAAACCCTCATGAGAAAGTCAGTCATACCCGATTAACAATAAACCCTAAACCCTAAACCCTAAACCCTAAACCCTAAACCCTAAGGAGTAGTCAAACCCTAAGAAAACACCAACTATACGCAGAAAGCGAAAACCTGCTTAGGAAAAATTCATGCATGCACAGGCATATAACCACCTCAAATTCGATTTTAGGGTTTAGGGTTTAGGGTTTAGGGTTTAGGGTTTAAAGGGGGAGGTAGGAGTAAAGCCAACAGACAAAAGATTAAAAGGAGACAGAAATGCAGCTGTCTGAACTGACAGAGAGATCGGGGGAAAGCCCCAAAGAAGCGTAGAAGAGGCAGCAACAGCAGCAAATTGCATGCATTGCTTTGTTTGTTTTTTTTGTTTGTATATGCAGGGAGTCTCAGCCCCAGGGATATGAACAACTAAAGCAGTTAACAAGAGGCTCTGGCTCTGTCTCTTCAAAAGATATGCAAGCATTTATTTTTCAGACGCCTCTATCTAAAGAAGTTAAAGAACAGCTGCTGCAGCTGTCTCCTCAATCTTATACTGGATTAGCAGCACAGCTAGCTAAGCAATGTGCAGACTCAAACCCTAACAGCAAATAAATATACAAACGCATGCAGATGCACATACAGCCCCAGCTGCCCATACACCCCAATGCTAACAGCCAAACCCTCAAAAGAAAAAAAAACCTGTACTCTAAACCCATCAGGGTTTAGGGTTTAGGGTTTAGGGTTTGGGCGGCCCTTTATCTGAACCGTTTCTTCACCGCAAACGATCAACGCCTCGTCGAAGTTTTCATTTTTTTAGGGTGTAGGGTTTAGGGTTTAGGGTTTAGGGTTTAGGGTTTGGTGGCCCTTTAGCTGGGCGATCTCTTCATCGAATATGATTAACACCTTCCCCACATTCTCATTCTTTTTAATTTTTGCATGCGCTGCCTCTGCATCTTCGGGTTTAAATTTGGCGTCACAAATAACCTGAAAATAAACACAAAAAAGGGTTTAGGGTTTAGGGTTTAGGGTTTGAGGGTTTGCGGGTTACAAACCCTAAACCCTCGAAACAACAAACCGATAACACCCTATATATTCAAAACCCAGCAATTCATGCAGCAGCCTCGCTGCTGCTGCTGCTGCTGCTGCTGCAGCTGCTGTTTAGGCTGCTGCTGCTGCTTACGCTGCTGTTCTTCTCTAATGTTTGGTTTTACAGTGCTGGGAAGAGTTTATTTATGTATATTTATTTTATTTATTTTATTTATTTATTTAATCTATAAACGAACTGGTGAACTAATTTAATTTATTTATTTATTTATTATTATTATCGCTTTGTTTGTTGTTAACAGAGTTGGGGCTGCTGGAGTTTTGCTATTATTTGTTTTTATTATTTTTATGTTTGTTTTATTTGCGTTATTATTATTATTATTACTATTGTTGTTGCTGTTATTTATTATTGTTATTATTATTATTATTATTATTATTATTATACTCGCTCTCACTTCTACTATGCATTCATATTAATCTTTATTATTATTATTATTATTATTATTATTATTATTATGACTATTTATTGTTTGACCCTTAAACCCTAAACCCTAAACCCTAAACTCTAAAGCGTAACATACGCCTTCTACATGGTTAGGGTTCCAGTGAAGGTTAAGGGTTTAGGATTTAGGGTTATTAGTATGCATTAGAGGGTTAACCTGCGTTTAGGGTTTAGGGTTTAGGGTTTAGGGTTTAGGGTTTAGGGTTTGGGGATCTGACTTGAAGCTGTCCATCACTGAATTTGGGGAGCACTTCTTTTCTGAAGTTGTTTACTAGAGACACCATGTAGGGTTTGCTTCTTAATCTTAAAGTTGAATATAAAACCCTCAGCCGCTTCTGCATTAGAGACATTAGAGACAGCTCTACGCGATCTCCCCCGAGGCACCCGTACACCACCCACCTGTAAACAAACCACAAACCCTAAACCCTAAACCCTAAACCCTAATCGTTGTGCTCAAGAGGACGAACAGCTCAGGCTCAACGCGCGGATGCCGCTAACAGCTAGCGTTTAAAGCGTAGCGTGCATAGGGTTTAGGGTTCAGGGTACATAGGAAGGATCTAGGGTTTAGGGTTTAGGGTTTAGGGTATGGCGCACGTGCCGTCCGTTTTGATAGCTTTAAGGGTTTGTTCAAATAAAGAAGCCCCAACACAATCCAACACAATGTCGACTCCCCTGCAACGCATTCTACTGTCTGTACACCATAAATTAGCTGCATATACACCCCAAATACTTCTTAAATTAGCTGCATATACACCCCAAATACCCCTGAAATTAGCTGCACATACACTCCGAATATCCCTTACATCAGCTGCACATACACCCCAAATATGCATGACATAATAAGCTGCAGATACACCCCAGGGCCTCAGTTTGTGTTGATAGAGACGCCTGTCTTTAAATGCATAGCCCTCAACTGTTGTTAGGGTCTATATTATTATTAAGATCTGTGGATACACTTCAGCATTTAGGTGTATGTATATGCAAAGACAACAGAGCTGCAGATACACCCCAACAACTGCATGCGCCCAAGTAGAGACAAACACTACATTAAAAAGCAACAGGTGAATGTACACCTCAAAGGAGACTGAAGATAAATCCCCTAGGGATGCTCTTTTATCTCTGTCTGTCTCCGTTTATCTTTAAGTGTCTCCTTTTGTCTCTTTATCTGTCTCCTTTTGTCTCTCTACCCGTCTCCAGGGTCTAGGGTTTAGGGTTTAGGGTTTAGGGTTTAGGGCTTACTGGCCTTGGGTGTATTCCAGCACTTTGTCTGCGAGGCCTGTCCCCAACTCTTTGTAATTCAAACAAACCGCCGCCCCTAAAACAAACAAACCCTAAACCCTAAACCCTTAACCCTAAATCCTAGACACTGGGAGCCCAGCCAGGACAAAAGACACGGATGTCGATCCAGCTTAGGGTTTAGGGTTTAGGGTTTGAATGAGTGCCTGTCGAAGGATGGAGTTGATACGAAGAGGAGACAGAAAAAGAAACAGACAAAATATATATATACAACAAAAACATATATATTATATATATCATACATATGTATATGTATATTATATATATATATATATAAATTATTTATTTGCTTACACACCAAGAACAAGCAAATATGCACATAATATATACACATATGCATGCACACAAATATAAAAAATTAATATATATATATATATTATATATATTATATGCATGTATATACCTGCCTATACACCCGAAGGAGTCTCACCCAAATCTTTTATTTTTTGCATTTTGTCTGTCGATCCGCTGACAGCGATAACAGAAACCGACGGAATAAATACTTTAAGCAGCTGAATAAGGGCTACCCCCATCCCTGCGGTGTACGTACACCCCAGCATGCAGATATATAAAGAATATGCAGCAGTAAACACATACAAATACTTCGCGTTTAGGGTCTAGGGTCTAGGGTTTAGGGTTTAGGGTTTAGGGTTTACGGCTCGGTGCTCGAATCTGCGGCATACACGAGAGCGCAGTTAAGGTTGAAGGTTTAGGGTTTAGGGTTTGTTAACCGAAACAGAAGCGTAGACGAGAGCGAATTCTAGGGTTTAGTGTTTAGGGTTTAGGGTTTAGGGTTTAGGGTTTGGCACCCGAGCCAGCGGCGTAGACGAGAGCGAATTTAATCCCTGAGGGTTTTCCGCCATTCGCCTGGAAGTCCGATATCCCTGAGGTGCCAGTCCCTAAACCCTAAACCCTAAACCCTAAACCCTAAACCCTAAACCCTAAACCCTAAACCCTAAAACCCTAAACCCTAAACCCTAAACCCTAAACCCTAAACCCTAAACCCTAAACCCTAAACCCTGAATGCCTAAAAGCTATGAACCCTAAACCCGAATCGGTAATCCTTGAATGCCAATAAACTATAAACCCTAAACCCTAAACCCTAAACCCTAAACCCTAAACCCCCGTCTCTATACCTGCAACTTCTTGAAGCAGCTGATAAGAAGCAATAAAATTCTCTGGTATGCAGGCGGCCTAAGGGCAACAAACTCTGCAGACAAGGGTTTAGGGTTTAGGGTTTAGGGTTTAGTATTTGGGGTGTATGGAATCAAACACCCGTGACAGCGCAGCCGTGGCTCGTGCACAGTCGTCTGGCCCAACCCCAAACCCTAAACCCTAAACCCTAAACCCTAAACCCTAAACCCTTGCCTGTTCAACAGTGAGGTTTGGAGGCACTGGGAAGCACAAGGCCGCGTCTGCTGCTGCATACTCTGCATATCCCCCGCCTGAAGGAGACACCGCAGCATATGTGTCCTTAGGGTTTAGGGTTTAGGGTTTAGGGTTTAGGGTTTAGGGTTGTTTGGGGGCTATTAAATAAAAGAACAGCTTCAAACATCCATTCCCCCATCATAAACCCTAAACCCTAAACCCTACCTCGTAAACCCTAATCGCTAAGAGAAGCCCCAAAGGCCGACTGGAGGCTTTCTGCTGCTGCTGCTGCTGTTGCTGCAGCTGCTGTTGCTGATGCTGCTGTTGCTGCTGCTTTACGGCCGTCCATTAAGGGTTTAGGGTTTAGGGTTTAGGGTTTAGGGTTTAGGCTGCTCACTGGGAAGGAGACACCCCACAGGAGTCCCCACAGGAATGGCGTCTCCGAGTACAACAACCCCACCAACTTCAACCCCTAACAAAGGCGAGGCCCCTTCAGGGGGAGGGTATTTGCCTATAGTAGCATCAAACCCTAAACCCTAAACCCTAAACCCTAAACCCTAATTAATAAATAAACCCTTATGCATAAAGCCTCAATCAATGATCCTCTAGTCAATAACCCCTAATCAATAAACCCTAATCAATAAAACCTAATCAATAAACCCTCTAATCTATAAACCCTAAACCCTAAACCCTAATGAAAAAACCCTTATCCATAAGACCCTAATCATAAACCCTAATCAATAAACCCTAATCAATAAACCCTAATACTTGAAAGGGTTTATTATTATCATACCTGCCTTTTGTAACAAATCCATTCTATTAACTCCTGCTGCTCCCACCTTCACCAGCAGCTGCTGCTGCTGTTGCTGCTGTTGCTGCTGCTGCTGCTGCTGCTGCTGCAGCTGCGGCTGCTGCAGCTTAGGGACGAGACAGCTACCTAGAAAGAGAGACGGGGGGCTGTTTGGCTGTTGACCCCCCCTCACTAGAACAGCACGCATGCGCTTGATGGCCTCCATTGCTGCTGCTGCTGCTGCTGCTGCTGTTGCGGTTTTGTGCTGCTGTTCCTGCTCGTGTTGTTGTTGTTGTTGTTGCTGCTGCTGCTGCTGATGGGGCACCTTCCACTGCTGCAGCACCAGCAGCAACAGCAGCAGCCTGCTGGAGATACACCCCTAACTGCTGCAGTGTTGGTCTTGCGAGGCAAGCAGCAGCAGCAGCAGCAGCAGCAGCAGCAGCAGCAGCAGCAAACAGAAATCCGTAGATCCTTCTATGTGGTTTAGGGTTTGAGGTGTTTGCAGAAAGGCAGCTATTTAATTACCCTCTCCAACTAGCTCAACATACACCCCAACTCTAAAGAAACATTGCTGCTGCTGCTGCTGCTGCTGCTGCTATTGCTGCTGCTGCTGCTGCTGCTAGCGGCCCGTAGGAAGAAGACAGCAGCAGCGAGAAGAAGACAGAAGAATAAAGAAGCAAATGTTTTATAATTTTGTTTTTGTTTGTCTTTTTGAATTCATTTACACAAAAAATTAGGGTTTCGCTCTACTACTTGAGGTGAACATACACCCGAAAGAACCGGCAGCAAACCCTAAACCCTAAACCCTAAACCCTAAACCCTCAAGAAGAGAGAGGAGATAATTCATTGCTTCGTAGTATTCTTCTTCTTTTTTTGTTTGTTTTTTCTCTTGTATTTCTTTATTTTTTGTTTTATTGAGGTGTACAGACACCGCACAACGGAGGCGATGCAGACAGCACGGCTCGATGAACGTCACCCTAAAACCCTAAACCCTAAACCCTAAACCCTAAACCCTTTACCCTAAACGACTGTGTAGGGTTTTCTTACTGGAAAAACCCTAATTTTGACTCGTATTTTCATTTAGGGTGCTTATTAACCTCCTTCTCTCTCTCTGTCTATTGCAGACACCAGCGTAAACCCTAAACCCTAAACCCTAAACCCTAATCCCTCCCGCCTTCTGCCTTCCCTTTCCGCAGCATCTGTATCTAGCCATGAGAAAACTGTTATGCTCAACAGTGACTTCGAGAATAATTAGGGTTTAGGGTTTAGGGTTTAGGGTTTAGGGTTTAGGGTTTAGGAAGGATGCTGGAAGCGGGGGTTTCGGTGTCTCTGCGAGTATTTGATTTATCTGAGGGAAAAGCAGAGGCCTTCAGCCCTCTCTTCCTTCCTGACTGCAAGAAAGGCATTTGGTACAAACCCTAAACCCTAAACCCTAAACCCTAAACCCTAAACCCTAAACCCTAATGGTGTGTGTAGAAGGGGAGCGGAAGTCCCTTTCAGTGAGCCAGTGGATCGATAGACAACAAGACGCTAAACCCTAGGGTTTAGGGTTTAGGGTTTAGGGTTTATGGTGTTTTCAGGCATACTAATGTTGTTGTTTATTCAAAAGAGTATTTTTACTTGTCTACAATTTGTGTCTGCCCTAAGGGCAGCGGCTGGCCTGGAGAGAAGCTCCTAACAGATGAGATATCGTAAACCCTAAACCCTAAACCCTTGTAGTTTCACCATCTGCCTTATTGCCTGCGGTAGTGTGCACCGCACACACCGGCTAGCATTTCTGAACGCGTGGGTTAAGGGTTTAGGGTTTAGGGTTGTCTGGACGAGTTCTGGCGGGGCATCTGTCGTACCCACACTAGGGTTTAGGGTTTAGGGTTTAGGGTTTTGTCTGCGGGGGTTTCAGAATGGGGAGGACGGAGACGAAAGAAGAAGACCTCGAGGCATTCCTGCACCTACAACGCAGCTTCTTCACCCCTGTAAACCCTAAACCCTAAACCCTAAACCCTAAACCCTCAACCTCAAGCTGAAGTGCCTGGTGGAGAGAAGTGTGTTTAAGTTTTTCGTAGACGGCAGTTTTAGTGGGGCGGCTGTCATGGCGTAGATGTGCGGGTTTAGGGTTTAGGGTTTAGGGTTTTAAGGGTTTAGGGTTTAGGGTTTAGGGTTTCGTGCAGGATCGCTACGATGTGTTCTTTCACAACTGCAACCATTTCTCGGAGAGCCTTCTGCGTTTTCTTGGAGTCAAACCGCTGCCTGCTTGTGCGTTCAAGGGTTTAGGGTTTAGGGTTTAGGGTTTAGGGGGTTCTGTTGTATGTTTGTCTTTCGTTTGCTTCTCTTGCTCTTCTCTCTGCTCTCGCGGTGTCTCCTTCTTGCTACCTCATCCCTAAACCCTAAACCCTAAACCCTCACTTAGCTGCCTTTTTCCTTGTGGCTCTGTCCACGTGATTCTAGGGTTTAGGGTTTAGGGTTTAGGGTTTAGGGTTTAGGGTTTAGGATTTAGGGTTTAGGGTTTGGGGTGTACAGACATCTCCACTTTGCCCGACCGGATTTTAGGGACAGTCTTGGGGCGCATAGCGAAGCCAATCGTCGATGCCTCTGTAAACCTCCGCAAGAAAGAGATGCGTATGCCTAAACCCTAAACCCTAAACCCTAAACCCTCGAGGCCAGACTTGAAGCCGTCGTCCTTAAACCCTAGTTTTGTTTTTCTTCAGTTTCTCCTCCCACCGCTTTCTTGCCTCCCTACGCTGTCCTTCTGAGGGTTTAGGGTTTAGGGTTTAGGGTTTAGGGTTTAGGGTTTAGGGTTTGTTTATAGGGCGGACAGCAGCCCCGTCTGAGCTGCAAGGAGACATCTTTTTCTATGGTGGGGCAGTGCCTGCTGTCTCCGATTGGGGGTCCCCCAGCAGCAGAGACAGTTTGAAGAGAGCAGCAAGGAGACAGCAGCAAATAAAGAGACAGGAGCGCAGCAGCAAGAAGCAGACATCTGCTCAGCTAGATGCATTCCTTGATAGAGACTCTGCACAAAGAGCAGCACGACGCAGCAGTAGCAGCAGCAGCAGCAGCAGCAGCAGCAACGGCAGCAGATCACAGGTACGTAAAGCAGGAGACATCACTAAGGCAGCAGCACACCTTACATCAGCAGCAGCAGCAGCAGCAGCTGCTGCTGCTGCTGCTGCAGAAGATGGGTTAGGCCTTCGGCTAGCCACGTGCTTGACAGATGCGTGGAAGGGACGAAATGAAGTTGTTGCTGCTGCAGCAGAAGGAGCTGCTGCTGCTGCTGCTGCTGTTGCTGCTGCTGCAGCAGCAGCAAGGAAAGAGACCTCCTGTCTCCCCCTAACACACGCCGTCAGCTTCTCCTCTTCGTTGCAAAGAGCTGCTGCTGCTGCTGCTGCTGCTGCTGCGAGCAGCGGGGACACACAACCCACCAGCCAAAGGGCCAGCAGCAACGGCAGCAGCAACAGCAGCAGCAGCAGCAGCAGCAGCAGCCAGCAGCTAAGTAATTGGCTGGGCGACAGTTCTTCGCGCCGAAGGGGTTTTACAGTGCATGCAAAGACACACCTCAATCAGCAGCAACAGCAGCAGCAGCAGCTGCTGCAGCTGCAGCTGCAGAGGGGTCCTTCGATGCGCGATAGAGCAGCAGCAGCAAGAGGAGCAGCAGCAGCAACAGCTGCAGCAACAGCAGCAGCAACAACAGCAGCAACAGCAGCAGCAACGCGGCAGCAATGGGGGAGACCTGACGCTTGGCTAAAGGCCGATGCCTCTCCTCCTCTCCGGCAGCAGCGCAGCAGCAGAACAGCGCGCCGCTGCATCAGCAGCAAAACCAGCAGCAGCAGCAAAACTAGCAGCAGCAGCAGCACAACTAGCAGCAGCAGCAGCAGTAACAACAACAACAGAAAGGCGAGGCGGAGCGCCGCAGCCTTGGATGCGTTTGGAGGTGAATAGAGGACAAAACTGCTGCTGCTGCTGCTGCTGCTGCTGCTGCGGTGCAGCAGCAGCAGCAGCAGCAGCAGCAACTGCAGCAGCAACACCTGCTGCAGAGAGCTCGACGTGAGCCGTTTAAGGCGGAGGCCACAGCGTATTGTCCCCAACTGCAGCAGCAGCAGCAGCAGTAGCAGCAACTGCAGCAGCAGCAGCAGTAGCAGCAACTGCAGCAGAGAGCTCGATATGAGCCGTTTAAGGCGGAGGCCACAGCGTATTGCCGCCAACTGCAGCAGCAGCAGCAGCAGCAACTGCAGCAGCTTTTGCCCTTGTCAGCAGTACCGTTCATGTGCTGCTGCTGCTGCTGCTGCTGCTGCTGCTCTTGCTGCAGCAGCTTCATAGCTTTACTTCCAGCTTGACGCTTATATATGAAAAAACCAACCGTATTTATGCTGTTGCTGCTGTTGCTGCTGCTGTTGCTGCTGCTGCTGCTGCTTAAGGGGGCCTCGGAAACTAGTGAGGCTCCCCAAAGGCCAGCAGTAGCAGCAGCAGCAGCAGCAAGTAGCGAGTGATGCTATCAGCTGTAACAGGAACAGCGCACCGTGGCCAGAAGCAGCAACAGCAGTAGCAGCAACAGCAGTAGCAGCAACAGCAGCAGCAGCAACAGCAGCAACCAGGATTGCTGAGGTAGTGTAGCAAAAGCAACAAACACTTAAATATGGTCGGTGGAGATGCACGTGCACCCGAAATCCCTCTGCAGCAGCAGCAGCATTGCTGCTACTGCTGCTGCTGCTGCTACTGCTGCAGCGGTTTGCTGCAGCAGCAGCAGTTCGTTATTTAAAGAAAACCACTTGGGGCCTCTTGCCGCTTTGCGCTCTGCTGGGCCCCTTCATTATCAGCAGCAGAAGCCCTAGCTGCCGCTGCTGCTTCTGCTGCTCCAGCATCTGCTGTGACGCTGCTGCTGCTGCTGCTGCTGCTGCCTGCTGCAGATCCCTGGCCACTAAACACAAAAATTGGGGGATAAGGCAGCGCCAAGTGCTGCGAAGAGGGGGGGTACACATATCCCGCATGCTGCTGCTGCTGCGGCGCCTGCTGCCGCTGCTGCTGCTGCTGTTGCTGCTGCTGCTGCCGGGCCCCATAGGGCTGAACTGCATTAAAGAAGTCCGCTGGCGCGCAGCAGCTGCCAGGAGCAGCAGCAGGCGCTGGTGTTGCTGCTGCATTTACTGCGGAGGCTGCGGAGATGAAAGGAGGAGAAAGCGGAGGTATAGGGACAACAGGGACGGGGAACGGTGCTGCTGGTGTTGCTGCTGCTGCTGCTGGTGCTGCTGCAGCTTGTGCTGCTGCTGCTTGTGCTGCTGCTGCTGCTGCTGCTGCTGCAGGGAAGGGGAAGCCCTGGCAAGTGGGGAAGCCGCTGCTACATGCTGGTAGCTGCGGTGTCTCCGCAGCACCAGCAGCAAAAGCAGCACTAGCTCTCGTATCTGCAGCAGGCGCTGCTGCTCCTGTTGCTGTTCCTGCTGCTGCTGGCGCTGCTGCTGCTGCTGCTGCTGCACAGGGGCTCCACGGCCCTGTACGAAGCCAGCCCGCATTTGCCGGTGCTGCTGCAGCAGCAACACGCAGGTTGTCTGGTGTTAAGGGTGCTGCTGGTGGTGGTGCTGCTGCTGCTGCCGAATCCGCTGCAGTTGGTGCAGTGTCTGTAGCAGCAGCAGCAGCAGCAGGAACGGAGAATGCGGCTTGCCGCTGCTGCTGCTGCTGCTGCTCACCAAAAGGAAGAGGGAGGGTCGGGGAGAAGCGCACAAGAGGAAATGCTCTAGATGCAGGTGAAGCTGCTTCGCTGCTGCTGCTGCTGTGGCTGCTGCTGCTGCAGTTGCCGTTGCTGCTGGCAGTGCTGCTCCTGCTGTTGCGCCTGCTGTTGCTGCTGCTGCTACTCCTGTTGTTGCTGCTGCTGGTGCTGCTGGCTGCCCCCCCATCTGCTGCGGGGTGCTGCTGTGGCTGCTGCTGTTTGTCTCCATCACACGGTGTCTCTGCAGCAGCAATTGCGCGGCAAGCGGATGCTCCCTCATTTCCTGCTGCTGCTGCTGCTGCTGCTGCTGCTGCATATGCTGCTGCTGCAGCTTCTGCAGGCTGCTGGTGGTTTCCCAGAGCAGCAAAAAATGCAGCTGCCCATACACCCGGCGCTACACTTTCTCCGCTGTTGCTGTCTCCTGCAAGCAACCCCACAAGTGCAGCAGCAGCAAAGGGATCCCCTGCTGCAGCAGCAGCAGCAGCAGCAACACCTGCGGATACACCTGAACGATAAAAGTGCAGCGCCAGCTCAAACACCGAACGAAATGGATACAGCAGCTCCGTCGCTTGACCCATCCCTGCGTTAGTGCTGTCAGTGAGAGCAGCAGCAGCAGCAGCAGCAGCAGCAACAGGACGGGGGTATCCAGCCTCCGTTACACCATTTGCTGCAGCAGCAGCTGCTGCTGCTGCTGCAGCAGCAGCAGATCGAAAATCACTCGGAGAAAACGCATGTGTCAGCTGCTGCGCCCCAGGCCTAAGGCCTGCTGCTGCTGTTGCTGCTGCCGTTGCTGCTGCTGCTGCTGCACTCTCAATAGGAGGGAAAGGAGCCCCCGCAGAGCGAACCGCCACGTAGTGCTGCAGCAACTCAATTGGGTGTGACAGCTCAACTGTTACACCAGCTGCACGCACGCAGCAGCAGCAGCAGCAGCAGCAGCTAGCAGAGCAGCAGCAACAGCTAGTAGAGCAGCTAGTAGAGCAGCAGCAACAGCAGAAGCAGTACCACTAAATAAGGGTGCAGCAGCAGCAACACCAGCAGCAGCTTCACACACAGCAATGATAGCAACAGCAAGAGAAACTGCTGCAGCAAAACCGGCAGTCACCCAGCAGCAGCAGCAGCAGCAGCAGCAGCAGCAACAGCAGCAGCAGCAGAATGGGTTGCGTACAGAAGGTAATAACAACGCAGAAATACCCCTTAGAACATGGGGCCACTGGCTGTTGCTGCAGCTGCTGCAGTTGCTGCTGCTGTTGGAGTTGGAGCCGCTGCTCGTGCTGCTGCTGCTGCTGCTGCTGCTGCTGCTGCTGCTGCTCGTGCTGCTCATCGTTGAAATCGGAGAAGTCCACAAGGCGGTAAGGAGTCTCTCTTCCGTCCGGCATTGTCATCTGTTCACAACAACACCTCCCTATACACCCCAGTATGCACCCCACAATACCTCCCTATACACCCCAATATGCACCCCGCAATACCTCCCTATACACCCCACAATATCTCCCTATACACCCCACAATATCTCCCTATACACCCCACAATATCTCCCTATACACCCCAACATCCGTAAAGACTCCTGGGACACCTCAGTTACCGATTATCAAACTCCGCGACACCCCAAACCCTAAACCCTAAACCCTAAACCCTAAACCCCTGCTCCTGCCTCCACCTAATCCTGCATGAAGATTTGATGTCCAACCCTAAGCCCTAAGCCCTAAACCCTAAACCCTAAACCCTAAACCCTAGACACCTGGAAGATAGCCACAAAGCGCATGAGGTCTATCAGGAGAGTAACAGCACAGCCTGACTGCAGGGGCTCTAAACCCTCAACTGCTTTCCGCTCCAGAACCGATCCTCGCCCTGCACGCAAACCCTAAACCCTAAACCCTAAACCCTAAACCCTTAGACTGATCTTCACCCCAGGGGACAGCAGCGCGAACAACAGACACCCCAAGGCTGCAGCCGCTGTTCAGATGCTAACGGTATGCCATGCCTAGGGCTTAGGGTTTAGGGTTTAGGGTTTAGGGTTTAGGGTTTAGGGTTTACGTTTGCACAGCTGGCCCTGTCTGTTAACAAAGACGGAATTGAGGGTTTGAATATTTTTCCCACAGGGAACCCTCGCTGAAGCACAAAACACTCAAGGGTTTAGGGTTTAGGGTTTAGGGTTTATTAGGGGGTTAAATAGGAGGGTTAGGGTTTAGAGGGTTTAGGGTTTAGGGTTTAGGGTTCGCCGACTGCGGCCTAGAGAGCTCCCCCTACAGCAGCAATTATATTAAGAGGGACCAGAGCAGCAGCAGCAGCAGCAGCAGCAGCAGCAGTAACAACAACAACCACAGCAACAGCAACGAACGAAAATGCGCCAGGGAAGACAGCAGCAGCAGCACAAGCACCAAGAGCAGAACGAGCAGCAGCAGCAGCAGCAGCAGCAACAGCTGCAGCAGCAGCAGCAGCTTACAGGCAAAGACAAATCCCACCCCGTCGGCTGCACTGATTGGACCTGAAATAGCAGCAGCAGCAACAGCAGCAACAACAGCAGCAGCAGCGCATGCAGGAAGACTAGCAGCAACGCGCAGGTGGCGCACACCAGCAGCACCAAAATCAAAAGCAGCAGCAGCAGCAGCAGCAGCATCAAGGTCAGCAGCAGCAGCATCAAGATCAGCAGCAGCAGTAGCAGGATCAACACATGCACCTAAACTATTATCACCATCAGCAGCAGCAGTAACAACTACAACCAGCAGCAGCAGCATTAGCAACACGAGCAGCAGCATGCATAACAGCAACAGCAGCATGCATAGCAGCAACAGCAACAGCAGCAGCATCAGCAGCAGCAGCAGCAGCAGCATGGGCTGACCCTGCAGCACTTTGTAGGTGTATGCTGCAACCCCTCCCACACGTAGCTGCCGTTCATAGACAAGAGATATCATGCCCCCCTTTCTTTCTTTCTTAAACCTTCTGTCTCCGCTAAATAGCAACCCCACACGACCTGCATCTGGGTGGAATCGAGGTGGGCTCCACGGGGGAGCGATCGATCCCGGCGATCCCTCCGACCCCACAACCGATCCCGACGATCCCACATCGTTCCCAGTCACCAACTCCCGAAATAAACGCCCCGCATGCAGCCCCAAACTCCGCTCTTGAGTTGTCTTCGAGCACTTATCTCCTGCAGATATACCCCCCATAAGGCCTACACCCCAGCCGGAACCCCCTCGCCTCCTCACGCTCATGCTGCTGCTGCTGCTGCTGCTGATGTTGGTGTTGTTGTTGCTGCTGCTGCTGTTGCTGCTGCTGCTGTTGCTGCTGCTGCTGTTGCTGCTGCTGCTGCTGCTGGGGTCGCTGCCGACGCATGCAACCGCCAATTGGGCCCCACGACGCCTCTGCTGACTGTCGCGCCGAGATGGGGCCCCACAGGTGCTGCTGCTGCTGCTGCTGCTGCTGCTACTGTTGCTGCTGCTACTGCTGTTGCTGTTGCTGCTGCTGCTGTTGTTGATGTTGTTGTTGCTGCTGCTGCTGATGCCGCTCGGAGAGCCTCTCCTTTCATGCGAAGACCCGTACGCAGCAAGGGGTGCAGCTGCGCCCTGATGCTGCTGCTGCTGCTGGTGCTGCTGGTGCTGCTGCTGCTGCTGCTCCTGTTGCACCTGTTGCTGTTGCTGCTGGTGCTGCTGCTGCTGGTGCTGCTGTTGCTGCTGCTGCTGCTGCTGGCGTTGCGGCTCGAGGGCCCCCGGGGGCCCCCCTTGCAATCCTTCTTGGGTCATAGTAGGGTTTTGCAGCCATGCTAGGGTTTAGGGTTTAGGGTTTAGGGTTTATAGGTTGCACGGCTGCATTTCGTGCAACAAGTAGGGAATTAGCTACAAAACCACCTTGACTTCTTGCCCACCATCTTAGGGTTTAGGGTTTAGGGTTTAGGGTTTAGGGTCTGAGGTTTAGGGTTTGCTGTGCGAAAAAGACTACAAGCTCAGTAAATGCGCGACTAATTATTTTTGAAGGCACACGAATGTTTATTACTCTACAGAAGGTCCTAAACCCTAAACCCTAAACCCTAAACCCTAATTCCCCCGTAGGCGGCAGCAGCCCCCGCAAGGGCGGGGCCTGTGCAGCCCCGGGCCGATATGTGGCCTAGGGTTTAGGGTTTAGGGTTTAGGCTTTATATTGATATTAAAATTGTCTGCTTCTGTTTCTTCTTCCTTCTTCAGCCAGGGTTCTGTGGTGTGCAGCAGCAGCTGCTGCAGCAGCAGCAGCAACTGCATCAGCAGCAGCAGCAGCAATAGAAGCAGCAACAGCAGCAGAAACAGCAGCAGCAGCAGCAGTTGTGGAGACATCAATATCATTTCTTGCTGCAGAAACAACAGAAGCGTCTCAAGCAACAGACTCAGCAGCAGCAGCGACGACAGCAGCAGCAACAGCGGCAGCAACAGCAACAGCAACAGCAGCAGCAACAGCAGCAGCGGCAGCAGGCGAGACACAATGGTGTTTGCTTTTTTTATAGAAGGTTTATCCCTGCGGTTCAGCTGCTGATGCTCTCCTAACGGTCCTAAACCCTCAACAACCCTAAACCCTAAACCCTAAACCCTAGGTCCCGCCAAACCCTAAACCCTAAACCCCCTTAACGCTGCACAGGAATATGTCGCTCTTCTTCCTCTCTCGCGTCCTTCTTACCCCTCCTAAAACCCCCAGGTTCGCTATGGTTATCAGGGTTTAGGGTTTAGGGTTTAGGGTTTAGGGTTTAGGGTTTATGATGCAATATATGTGATGACTGCTCTCTCCGCATTTGTTTCCCCCCACTGTACGCAGATATACCAGCCTGAGAATTAAGTCTTTAGGCTTTAAAGTTTAGGGTTTAGGGTTTAGGGTTTAGGGTTTAGGGTTTAGGGTTTAGGGTTTAGGGTTTACGATGCAGGAACGTGTTTTTTCCTTGGCATACGATGTCTATACACCTGAGCGGGAGTTTCTTAGAGTCGCGTCGGCTGGCTTTAAGGGTACCCGTTACTTTAACAAAACCGGAGATAAGAAGATATTTAGAGGGGCTTTATGGTGCTAAAGTGCTAAAGGTTAATACTCTTATTAAAGTCCCTGAGAGAAGACGCAATCTGGAAGACAAACGATGTAAATATATGCACCCAATACATACACAAACCCTAAACCCTAAACCCTAAACCCTCGCACACAAAAATAAATGCAAACATAAACATTCCACCCTTCTATACCCAACTACAACAAACCCTAAACCCTAAACCCTAGATCCTCTCAACAGATGGTATAATTTTCGTTTCTTGGGGTGCCGTTCTAGAACTTTTAGGGTTTAGGGTTTAGGGTTTAGGGTTTAGGGTTTAGGGTTTGGTGTTCAGTGGGTTATCGCCGCGCGGGGTGTACGTACAAGAAGGCTATAGTAACTCTCGAGGAGGCGGTCCCTCCTGAAGTGCAGATGCTGCGATCTTCTCGCAACTTGTCTGTAAACCCTGATAAACTAAAAAAGAATGTATCATACGGGGCTAACAGAGATTTAAAACGAAGGCCTACAAGAGAGCAGCAAACTCAAGGAGGAGAAATGCAACATGCATGGACGCTGCCCATTCCAAACCTCCTAGCAGGTCAGGGTTTAGGGTTTACGGTTTAGGGTTTAGGGTTTAGGGTTTAGGGTTTAGGGTTTCGGTGGACGTAGAAACTTCCAACCCGCGCCAGAGAACGAGAACACGAGGACTGATGGTTTAGGGTTTACTGTGGTTTTATTAGGGTGTATTAGGGTTGATTAGGGTTGATTAGGGTTGATTAGGGTTGATTAGGGTTTAGGGTTTAGGGTTTGGGTGTAGGTGACGACCTGCCTATACACCCGACGCACCGCGAAGATCCTTCTTCAACTTTGGAGGCGCCAGACATCCGCTTGCCTTTTAGGCATGGAGGGGTTTATAATTTTACTTTTAAACCGCAAGAAGTCCCTCAGCAGACGCCTGTGCCGGTATACACCTGCAGCAGCAGCAGCAGCAGCAGTAGCAGCATTGGCAGCAGCAGCAGCTGCTGCTGCAGCAGCAAGAGGGGCAGTGTTAGAAGAAGTGCATGGAGGGGGTTGTAGTAGAAATGTCGGCAGTCATTACGGCTGCTTCAGAGACCTATGGGTTTAGGGTTTAGGGTTTAGGGTTTAGGGTTTAGGGTTTGCGTTTTGTGCGCAGCTGGACCTGAGACCCTGGCGCCACCGTCTGTCCAATTCACAGAATCGCACCAACAACTAACTAGCTAGCTAGCTAGCTAGCAGAAGAGTAGCTAGCTAGCGAGCTAGCTAGCTGGCAGGTGGCTAGCTAGCAATTAAGTTGAATAGCAGATGGGTAGCTAGCTGCTTGATTGCTTAGCAGCTAGCTAGCTAGCTAGCCACCAGATGGCTGGCTAGCTAGCTAACTGATTGTACAGAAAACTTGATAACCAGCTAGCTAGCTAGCTAGCTAGCTAGCTGGCAGATGGGTCGCCAGCTGGTTGACTGGCTAGCTAGCTAGTTAGCTAGCTAGCTAGCTAGCTAGCTGTTTGTTTTAAGAGGGGAGGCGAAGACAGCAGTGGGCCCCTCAAACCCTCAATTTATTTTTGTGTGGCAGTACCTCTGTAGGACGCTCCTATGCATGCAGGGTTTAGGGTTTAGGGTTTAGGGTTTAGCAGGGAGTCTTTCAGGCTTTGCCGCATCGTATGAGAGCTTAAACTACGCAACAACAAATATAAGACGTGCTGCTGCTGTCTCCTCGCTGTCTCCTTTTGTCTTCTTACTGTCTCTTCTTGTCTTTTCTTCTGTCTCCTTTCTGTCTCCTTTTGTCTCGTTTGTGTTTTTATCTGTCTCCTTTTTGTTTACTGTCTCCTCGCTGTCTCCTCTCTGTCTCTTCTTTTGTCTCTTCTTTTGTCCCCTTTCTGTCTCCTCACTGTCTCCTTGCTGTCTCCTCTCTGTGTCCTTTTAATCTCTTTTTGTCTCTCTACTATCTCTTTACTACCTCTTAACTGTCTCCTTTCTGTCTCCTTTTGTCTCCTTTTTGTCTCTTTTTGTCTCCTTTTGTGTAGACAGTCAGAGACAGATAAAGAGAGACAAACAAACAAAGAGAGATAAATAAAGAGAGACAGATAAAGAGAGACAAACAAAGAGAGACAAAAGCTTGTTGTGTGTCTCCTTTATTATTTTTGTCTCCTTCTCTCAGCTGTATACACAGGGTTTATGCGTCTGCATACTTTCGTGTTTATAGGATTAGCAACATGCAGCTAGGGTTTAGGGTTTAGGAGAGGCATTTGTGTGTCTGCCTCCTTTCTTGTTTATAGGACTAGCAAAGTACAGTTAGGGTTTAGGGTTTAGGGTTTAGGAGACAGCTATTTCGAGTTGCCCTAGGAAGCATAGGCAGCTTCTGCAGGCGCGGGGAGACAATAAAAGATAGCCGTCAGGGTTTAGGGTTTAGGGTTTAGTTGGAGGGCTTTATTAAGAGTATGCAACTGTCTCCTTTTGTCTCCTCCTGTCTCCTTTGAAGACAGACAGATAAAAGGAGACTAACTCCTTTAAAAGGCTGCTGCTGCAGCTGCTGTTGCTGCTGCTGCAGCTACTGTTGCTGCTGCTGCAGCTGCTTCTGTTGCTGCTGCAGCTGCTGCTGTTGCTGCTGCAGCTGCTGCTGCTGTAGCAGCAACAACGCCGAGTGTATATGCAGCTCTTCGTTTCTAGGGTTCTCCCTCTTGCGGTGTATAGGCAGGTATTTTTCTTTGTAAACCCTTTTGTTAGTGCTTGCAGTAAAAAGAAAAAGGCTCTTAATAACTTTGCTTTTAGTTGCAGCAGCAGCAACAGCAGCAACAGCAGCAGCAGCAGCAGCAGCAGCAGCAGCAGCAGTAGTGGTACCTGGTGTTGCTGCAGCACCCCTAGAGTGTATGACTGTTGGAGACAGCCATATAAGGGTTTAGGGTTTAGGGTTTAGGGTTTTGCGTTTGTTGCAGTTGCGACTGAAGAGGAAACAACCTAAAGACAAATGCAAAACCCTAATTATCCCGGTGAGGGTTTAGGGTTTAGGGTTTAGGGTTAATGCAGAAGAGCCGTTTGAGGGTTTGTTGCAGCCCAAAGTACCACCTCATAACATAATTTAAGGGTTTAGGGTTTAGGGTTTAGGGTTTGGTGGTGTATGGTTAAGGGTTCGGGGGTTTAGGGTTTAGGGTTGTGAGCGGAGGGTGGGTTAGGGTTTAGGGTTTGCTGGTGTAGGGTTTAGGGTTTAGGGCGGCGGGCGCTGCAACCCTCGGAGTAGGAACTTTAGAGTTTAGGGTTTAGGGTTTAGGGTTTTAGGGTTTATAAAGGCAATTCTCTATTATATTGTGTTGATATGTAGCAGCACCTGCTGCAGCCTCTGGAGGCCCCACTACCACGACCCGCAGCAGCAGCAGCAGCAGCAGCAACAGCAGCAGCAGCAGCAGCTGCAGCAGCAGCAGCTGCTGCTGCTGCTGCTGCTTTGCTGCGCTGGACTCTCAAGGGTTGTGCTTTTGCTAGAAGGGTCTCTCCTTTATTTGGTTTTCTTTGTATTTTTTCTTTTAAGAGTTTGCTGCTGCTGCTGCTGCCCGGTGTATATACACCTCAGCTGTCGCTCACCAGGACCCGTGCAGCTGCTGCTGCAGCAGCGCAGCAGCGCAGCAGCAAGAGGTCTGGCGTTATTTCTTTTCTTTCTTCATTTTGTGGGGTCCCCCTACTCTCCTTTTGCTTGTGAGTGGAGCGCGGCGGGGTTTAGGGTTTAGGGTTTAGGGTTTAGGGTTTAGGGTTTAGGGTTTAGGGTTTGCAAGGCTTCTCGGCCCACCACCACACAGGGGGCCCCCCACATCTGCAATTTATTTAGAAGAGGGTTTAGTGGTTTAGGAGAAGAAAGGGTCTCATATTCTTTTTACAACGGAGGGCTTGTTAGGCCTGCATGCACACCTGAATCGAGGGTTTAGGGTTTAGGGTTTAGGGTTTAGGGTTTAGGGCTTGGGGTTCAAGGCTGTTTGTTGCCCTTGTTTAGTGGGGAGAAGCCAACAATTCGGCTTTGAGGAGCGTTCAAGAGGCCTCACGGAAACTAGGGTTTAGGGTTTAGGGTCTAGAGTTAGGGTTTAGGGTCTAGGGTTTAGGGTTTAGGGTTTAGGGTTTGTCTGCAACGAAGGTTCACAATGGAGCGGAGAGTAGCAGACAGGAAAGCAAACTTCAAAAAAAACTTCGAGGACCCCAGGAGGAAAAGGGAGGACCTCCAGGTAAAGGGTTTAGGGTTTAGGGTTTAGGGTTTAGGGTTTAGGGTTTAGGGTTTGGAGGCAGAGTGGTATGTTTGTGTTTTGATTGATTGTTTGTATCCTGCCTCTAAACCCTTATTTAAATTTATTTTTGTTGCTGTCTTCTGCTGTCTGTCTCTCTTTTATTATTTTTTATTTGCACCGTCTCCTTTATTTATTATTTTATTATTTTATTGTCTCCTTGTGTGTAGCCCTTCGCTGCTTTATTTTATTTTTTATTTTGTTTTTGTTCTTGGCTATATTTATTTTTATTTTATTTTGTTTTGTTTGGGGGTTGTCTTCTTGTTGCTGCGTTATCTTCTATTATTTGCTTTCTTTGTTTTATTACTGCTTATAAAAATAATAAATAATAAATAATAAGTAATAAATATTTAATAATATTAATAATAATTAAACTTCTTCGTTGCTGGTCTTTCTTCTCTGTTTATTTTTGTTTTTGTTTGTTTTGTCTATTTATTTTATCTCCTTTATATATATTATATATAATTATAATTGTTATATTATTTCTATATAATTATTATTAATTATTATAACGAATAAACATAATAATAAATTATATATATAAATACTTAGACGAATAAATTATATAAATTATTATAATTAATGCTTACAAAGAATAAATTATATATATATGTATATATATATATATATAT